AATTTGTATCAAAAAGTAATTACTCTGAAGGAAATATCACGCACATTTGATTGTGGGTATATAAGGGCTTACTGGTGACTTTGTGCCATCCACACAGAGACACCAGCGGCCCCTCTGAAAGGCATTGCACAGCAATGCTCACCCCTATGGGTTGACCTCAGGGACCGTCTGAAGAGCGGGACCTGCAGGGGCTGCTGAGAGTTTCTTGCTGACCCAGCACATACTGATCTGAAGCCCAGAGGGGTCCTGTTGGGGCATTTAGTGGGAGAGAAGCTCTTACTAAATGGTGGTGCCCAAGACGGTGGCTGTGACCCTGAAGTTGCTTATGCAGCGTTCACCTTCTGTTCACTAATTCCATAAACACTTTTTATGTGACCACTGCATGCCAGTCACCATCTTACACACAGCACCTGGTGATTAGGGGGCAGTTCTGGTCACATTATCATGGAACTGACCTTCTGGGGTCCCAGGAGCAATAATGAATAGAGTGGGGAGGCGAGACGAGGTGTGCGCGGGGCAGGTATCAGATGCCTGGGCTCCTGTCAGCACTCGGTTTGGGGCTGGCTGGCTGGCTGGCCTCTAGGAGAAGTCTTGCTATGATGTCCCCTTTGTTCTCCCCATTATTGAATTCAGGAACCCAGTCGTTGAGATCCAGGAGCCTGGCCAGGCTTTTTCTGAATCTGTCACGTTTTGAGGTGAATCCTGCGGGCAGCTAAGGAAGCCCTTCAGCTTTCACTGAGCTGTTCAGAAGCGCCTCTCTCCACAGGTTCTCCAACATCCATTCATGCCTGCTCCGTCCACCCAGTGCACTGAGTGTGCCCGCTGCGGGGCGTAGGCAGGGCCAGAGGCTCTGAGATGGAAGGCGAGGTGCCTGAGCTGACAGCATTTCCTGCTCAGCTGCCCCGGCTTGAGTTTCAGCCAGAACCAAGCTTCACATTTTACATTTGTCCTCTTTCCCTGGGAGACCCCTCCCCAGTCCCACTTGGAAAGCATCAGGGTCTGCGAGACAAACGAGTACCCGAGTCTCCAGCTGCCCCTCCCACTGGGCCTTTCTCCTGCCCAGCAGCCCGTTTGCCCCACGCTCCTGATGCCAGCGTGGGCCCAGCCCTCCCGCCTGTGGCCCCCTGTCCTCTCCCCGCAGAAGGTGCCCCTTCCATCTTCCATCTCAGAGGATGCCGGAACGCTCTCCCCGGGCCTCCGAGTCTGAGCAGAGTCCCCTTCCCTGCCATAGAGGGGCGCAGGCACCGTCATCTCTGTCTGTCTGTCTCCATTTCTCTCTGCGCCTTTCTTCTCTCTGGTCTGGGTTTTGTTATGGCTTCTGGCCTGGCTGTTAGAAGGATGGAACGCCTGTGCCCTGCGGGGCGGATGAATACCCACAGCCCAGCCTGTCAGGTGATCTTGCCATGATGCCAAGAAAACGAGCTGAGTGGGCCTGGTCGGCGGGAAAGTAGGGCGGCCGGGGTGTTGGGACGGTCCATCTGCATTTCACTGTGTTAGAGGGGACTGTGCAAGGCTCTGAGGTGAAGGGCAGTTTCGTTGCATAGAAATAGGGCCGTGCACGTGCTAACAGGTGTTCTGGCCGCTCAGCCTGTGCCGGGAGCCCACTTCTGAGTGAGCGCCACCTCCTCCATCGCCGCCTCTGTGGGCCCAGGAGATCGATGCCTCCTTGACTTCTGTCTCCAGTGTCACTTTTAAGTCTTAAATCCCAAATACATGTTTGTCATATTTAAAGAAAAACCATTTCTAATGGTAGAGAAGGGAGCCCCAAGTTGGGCCTCATACCTTCTCCACCACCAAACCCCACATGGGTCCCAAGGTGAGGACCCTGCAGCATGTCACACACACGCACTCCTGTCTCTCCTGGGACCTGGTGTCCCTCTCCGAGGCATGGGTCGTCTGCCTGTGAGGCCAAGTGACTCACTTGACGCAACAGTGTACCTGCTCAGCACCAGGGCTCTCGGTCAGACCCACAGCTCCAGTCCGGTGGCTGTAAGGGAGGAGACCACAGTCTGTCCCCCACTCTGCCCGCCTGTTCCCTTGAAAGGGCCGGATGCCCCCCCAGCTACCACACCCGTGTGTGTTCCTGGCTTCCTGTCCATGGGCATCCCGGCCTGTGACCTTCCTGCAGCGATTGTTATTATCTGAGCCCCAGGGAGGACCCCAACCCCAAGGGCCAGCACCAGGTGACGTCAGAGGGAGAGCAGTCCCTGCGGGCAGAGCCTCTGAGTCCCAGAGCAAGGCTGCCTTGGGGCTGTCCTGACCCATGTGCACACTGACTGCCCTTGGCCTTCAAGTGGCCGTGGCATCTCAGCAATGCGTCTGCATCCTCAGGCAGCTCCTGGTTTACAGAGAACCAGCTGGGGAACAGCCTTGAACTTTGAGAAGAAACAGCTTCTAAGAGGGTTTGCTCGGAGGTGACCCTGCTCCGGATCTGTGCCGACAGGAGGCCGGTAATGAGCAGACGGCTGGCGGAGCATCTGATGAGCAGAGCATCTCATGCTCCCTTGGTGATGTCAGGCAGGTCCCCTGTGGCCCAGGTCCCAGAGCCCCTGGCCCAACAGAGCTCCATCCTGATTTGGAACCTGCTGCACGGCGAGCTTGACCTTGTAGAAGAGGGGTCTCTGGTGTCCTCCAGGCCTTCTGTCTGTCTGTCCATTGAGGGGCAGACGCAGTCCTTTGGGGTCCCCATCCCCTCCCACGCATGGGTCTCCTTTAGCTCCCGCCGGCTGGTGTTTGCTGACCTGGCGTCATGGACCTCCCAGTGGTAGGCACCTGCCTCATTTGCAGCTCTGAGCCACTCTTCCAGACGCCTTCCATTTGCCCCTCTGTCCCTTCCCCACAGGGACAACTGTCTCAGCCCTCCCCGGGCACTGCCACTCTCCGTAATGAGCTGCGTCGCAGGGCCACACGCTTCCTGCCTTCGTTTCCGCTTTTCTCAGCCCGATTAAACAAGGCCCTGGGGACTCCCCATCTGAGCCAAGGTGGCGCCTGGTGACAGTTTGGGGTTCAGGTGTCTTATCTGTGGAGATGGGAACTCTCCAGACTGTGGCTGGGGCTCAAATAAACATACAGGTTTGGGGTCCAGGGAGCCTCCAGCCTCGGGCTGGGGGAGAGTAGGATCTGGTGGGATGCCCCACACCCCTTTCTCACTTGGCCCCCTAAACATCGCGTGAGAGCTAAAATATTGCATTTGCACGGTCCTGTTCTGCAAGCGTTTCTCAGGAACTGAGAAGTGTTTCTGACTTAGGAGCCTTTGAACACGAATCCAGTCTCTTCTGTTCTATTATTTATCACACACATGAACAGTTCACCCAAAAAGAATGCATGTGCCTCTGTTTGGGATGTGTAGATTTTTTTTTTTTTTTTTTTTTTGTCTTTTAACAAAGCTCTTGGAAAGAGACTTGGCAGAAATTCCAAAGCAATTTGGTGTGGTTACAAATAATAAGCTTTTAACGATCAGTTAATTAATAGGTTAGCATAATAATTTATGAACAAATCCTATATGAATCATTTATATTTGTATAACTTGTAAATAAAAGTCACAAATGAAATAATAAATTAATAATTTAACCATCATGGGGGCAGAAGCAGTGTGACCAGTGGTGTGACCCTGGGCAGAAGCAGTGTGGGAGCCTGGACGAGTCCCTGGGGCATCCGGACACTCGCTTCCTCATTCCGAAAGGAGAATGGTGGACTCCTCATGCCCTAGATTAGCGAAGGCGAACCTTTTGAGCTTGGCGTGTCAGCATTTTGAAAAACCCTAACTGAACTCTGGTGCCGTGTCACATATTGAAATGTTTTGATATTTGCAACCATAGTAAAACAAAGACTTATATTTTTGATATTTATTTTATATATTTAAATGCCATTTAACAAGAAAAATCAACCAAAAAAATGAGTTCGTGTGTCACCTCTGACACGCGTGTCATAGGTTTGTCATCACTGCCCTAGATAGTATGTGTGAGAGTGCTTTGTGCAGTCTAACGCAGCGGTCGCCAACCGGTGGTCCGCGGTCCACCGGTGGTCCATGAGGTCCGAAAGGTTGGCGACCGCTGGTCTAAAGCATCACACACTGCTAACTGTCATTAACATAACCCATGAAATGCGATTGAGGAAGTGGACAGATGCCAGAGTCCAACCCCAGCAGGTCCAGGGGTCCCCAAAGGTGTGGACGGAGTTAGTGAAGAAGGAATGACACGGAGAGGGCGTTCAGATGATCATCATAGCAAGGTTCTCTAGCCACGTTCTGGTTAGGATCTCCAGCGAGGTTCTGCTTCAGATCTCCAGGTTCTCCAGCCAGGTTCTGTAGCCATGTTCCCTCGCTAGGTTCTCCAGCCAGGTTCTGTCCAGGTTCTCCAGCCAGGTTCAGTCACCAGGTTCTAGTCAGGTTCTCTTGCCAATTTCTGTAGTCAGGTTCAGTCCAGGATCTTTTGCCATGTTCTCTCCAGCGAAGTTCTTCTGTCTGTAGGTTCTATGTAGGTTCTGTCTTCTTAGTTCTGTGTAAAGCTCTGTATTCTAAGTTCTGACTCTTGCTGTCTTGTTACATCTGTATTTATACCAGTTGATTCAATCCTATCAATCTCTATTACAAAGGTTAGGGCGTTTCTTATCTCCATTCCAGGGAGTAAAGATTATGTAGCTTAAGCATGATTGTTCATAGTTAAAGTGATTAATTACCCACCTGGCACTTAGTTAAGAGGTTTTATTCCCTCCCTAACTTCAGGGGAAAATCCCTACCTGGGGAAACACCCTTTCTCAGAGACCTTGGTTAAAACACATAGTGCCAAGAAGGTGAGCAAACATATTAAGAACAGTATGCCATATATGCCAGGTCCCTTGAAACAGCAAGCATGGACCGGCTCCCGGCAGACAGAGGCATGAGAAATCTCACTTTGGCCTTGGATCCAAGGTCAAATGTACTGTGTGCTTACCTGCATGGCCCCGGGGCTAAAACCAACCAGTCCTGTGATAGAGAGTGAGTGTGATCTGCTTTTCTGCAGGATACAAGACCCTGCTGAAAGGAATTTCTGGGAAATTCAACAGTGGGCAGCTGGTGGCCATCATGGGTCCTTCCGGGGCTGGGAAGTCCACGCTCATGAACATTCTGGCCGGATACAGGTGAGCACACCGTGCCCCGGATGATGAGGTCCCCGCCATATGTGGCCTGTGGCAGCAGTATGGACAGGGAAGCCACCTCAGTCCATCCATCCCTCCTGAAGGTTCCGCACAGGCTCCAGTGAAGCCTGGGGCCACGCCCCAGAAGGCCTCAGGCAGTAAGGATGGGCAAGGTTCGGGAGGGAGGGAGTGTGGCTGGCGGGGCTGTGCCCCTTCCATTTCCAAAGTACACATGGATGCCCACTCTGTCCACCATGAGTACCTTGCCCGGGGGAGGACTACACGTTCGGCTGAGTGGTCCAAGGCGTAGGCCCCCTCCTCTTTCGGCCAGGTGAGCCCCGGGGCCCTCCTGTGTCCCCAGGCCCTGGGGAACTGGTTCTGGCGTAGCAGCCACACCCCAGGCTGCAGAGTCTTGGCCTTTGGGCAGCCACTGTAACCTTGGCTACACACACAGGACTGTTCAGAAGCCAACACTAGAAATCCTCTGAGCTGTGGCTGCCTGTCGGAGCATCCATGCCCATCGCAGCTTGTAGATGGGCATTTGCTACAAACATGCCGTCCCAGAGAGACCTCCCTCCGCCTTTCCCTGCTGTGCTGGGCATTTTCTCTGCAGTTCCTTCCTGCGAATACTAGGCTGTCCCAGGTCTCCGTCCTTCCTGCCCCCACATCTCTGTGGCACACGGTCCAGCCTGGAAGGTGCTGGGAGGGGCCGCCTCTCTCTCAGGCCCTCCCCAGCCCTGGAGGCGGGGGCAGGAGCAGGAGCCAGGCTGACCAGTCCTCTGCTGGCCTTGCAGGGAGACGGGCATGAAGGGAACCATCCTCACCAACGGCAAAGCCCGGGACCTGCGCTGCTTCCGGAAGGTGTCCTGTTACATCATGCAGGACCACATGCTGATGCCGCACCTCACAGTGCAGGAGGCCATGATGGTGAGCTGCCCCCTCTCCTCCACTAGCGGGCAGCGCTCCCTGTGGGGCTGGACCCTGCCAGGCCCCTCCTCCCAGCGGAGCTCGGCACCAGCCCTGTTTGGACAGCTTCGTTGAAAACAAACCTCTAGACCAGTGGTTCTCAACCTTCCTAATGCCACGACCCTTTAATACAGCTCCTCATGTTGTGGTGACCCCCAACCATAAAATTATTTTTGTTGCTAGTTCATAGCTGTAATTTTGCTACTGTTATGAATCGTCATGTAAATATCTGATATGCAGGATGTACTTTCATGGTTACAAATTGAACATAATCAAAGCATAGTGATTAATCACAAAAACTATGTAATTATCTATGTGTTTTCCGATGGTCTTAGGCGACCCCTGTGAAAGGGTCGTTTGACCCCCAAAGGGGTCGCGACCCACAGGTTGAGAACCGCTGCTCTAGACCCTGGGTTCGTGTAGACCCTGGGTGGCCAAATCAAGGTCAAATTCCTGAGAAAGGTATTGACCCGACCGATATGGGTGGCCCCTTCCAAGGTGACCCCGGTCCTAGCCCCTTGGGCTGAGGGTCTGCTCTTCCCATCAGCTGTTCTTCAGTCATTTGTGGCTTTAGGGCCAAGTTCCAGTCAGCCTGGTGCTGGACTCACCGGCGTCCTCTGACTCGCCTGCCTGCCGGGTGCTGCCCACCTGCTGGGTCCCGGGCCCTCCACTCACAGAGCCCACGGCCATCAGACATGTAGTCCTGCGGAAGCACGGAGGGAGGCAGCCTCCAGAGGGCGCTGTTGGCCAGGGCACCCTGTACGCTGGGGTCCAGAATGGCCTGGCCATCATGCTCTTTGAACAGACCAGGACCCCGCAAGTGCCCTGACCTGGGCTTCCAGGGCCAGGATTTAAAAAGACCCCGCCCACACCATCAGGGGCCACACTGACCCAACTGTGGGCACCAGGAACCCCTGGAGTGTCTCCCACAGAGAAGAGATGGGAAGCCCATCAGCATCCTTGGCTCCTCACGGTGCGTTTCATGGCAAGGTGCCTGGTTTTCTGCTTCCTCCTCGTCCACTGTAAGAGGCAGGGCCTCTGAGCCGCTCCTGGCATGTGACGCAACACCCTCAGCCTGTTTGCCTTGCGCCCTGGTCAGAGGCTGGGTTCGCCTCGGTTTTCCAGCCCGAGCTCCTCATCGCAAGGGGGCAGAGCTTCCTCCCTCTGGCACCAGAGAGAGGCACTGCCCAGCCTTGTGTCCCAAGGGCAACTCTTAGCAAAGGGGAGCAGGGTAAGGTGTCAGCTATGTGATCTGCTCCTTAACCTGCTTTGTGGGGAGACAGAGAGGAGGGCCCTACGGGGTTGTTCTCTCGTCGTCCCTGGATCTCAGTGTTGTGTAAGGCAGGGGACACCTGTCCCCCAGCTGGCCCCCCGAGGAGGCCTGTGCCCCGGTGGCTCTGATTGTTTATGTGATGAGAGCACGGGGCCCTTAGGAGGAGCTTGCAAACAGAATGGGACATTTAGTGGAAGCTTTACACATCCCATTGCTACTTCGTCTCAGGTGACCAGAGAGAATCTTTACTTTGATTTCTGGCTCAGTTGCTGCTTTCTTTTGCAAACAAGACTAGTGACTCCTGTTGTCATCTCCCTCTTCCCCTTACTGCCTCCCCAGGTCTCTGCTGTGAAATTCATTTATTTTCACAATGAAACTCAATGAGATTCTAACTTGAAGCCATGATCTCTTTTACTCCCTGAGGTCTTGTCACACACGTAGGGCTAATATTGACTACCGGCTGTGGGTTATGCATCTTCATGGCTGCTTCTGACCCTCACAACCACGAGACTAACCAGGAAGTGACACTTGCTGTCACCGGGCAAGCAGCTGGCCCGACCGAGCTGACCTAGGCCTGGCCCTGTCTGACTCCACAACTGTGGCCCCTTCTCCACTCTGCCCTGCGTCTCAGTCTGTCATCAATCCTCATGGCGACTTCACCAGCTCACTGGTGGGCAGGTTCTACCCTCACCATTGTGTCCAAGAGGAAACAGGCTCATTTCCTAAAGCCACAGAAGTCGGCAGAACAGAACCAAAGCTGACCTGGGCATGGTGATGACTAGTCAGAGTTTTCCCCGGCAGGGCCAGGGGGGCAGGGGTGTGCTGGCAACCAGGATCACAAACAAGACAACACCACCAGAGTCCGGATATGTAGCGCTTGCCGATTCCTGTGGTATAAATATTCTCAAATACTCCATGATGAGCAATGGATAGTTTTAAGCTACCAATGGTCTCCCAGGTGGCTTGTGAAAGTCCTAAATATACACCACTAGTCTTCAAGCCCTGAGGCCTTCGGTTCCTTATCTCACAGTTGCCCACATCTAATTTTTCTCACGGACACAGCTGCAAATTCAGCTGAGAACGGAAAGCCCCCAGACATGCACGGCTGTCCTAGACCCCGCTCTGCTGAGCCAAGGGAGGTGGGAAGCCACGGCCTTCTCAGAGGGTTTTCCTGCAGCCCCTGGGCTCTTGGCCCGTGGTGTGGCTTGTGAGGTTTGCCCTGCCGAGGGCCATCTGTTCTGACTCCACACTGTATCCCTCGTCCCCTGCAGGTATCCGCGCATCTGAAGCTCAAGGAGAAAGACGAAGGCAGAAAGGAGATGGTAAGTGTGTGCCTTGGGGCCACAGGTGGGCCAGAAAGTGCATGAACTGCATTTGGCAAGCACATGTGCGGGGACGTTTTGGTGCTGGCGTTGTTGGTTTGTCGCCTTACCTTCTGTGTGTGGGCGACGGTGTCGTCGCAGTGTGCTGCATGCTCGCTGGGCAGCCAGGACTGGCCACCGTGCTGCAAGAGCCACAGCCTTGACTCTCGTGTCCTGGCGCTGCCACACCAGCAAGGGTGCAGCGGGACACCAGCCTGAGAGCTCAGGTGGCCGGAGGGCCCGGCCTCGGGTCCGCCCAAGCGCAGTGCTTTTCTTAGTTAACATGCTGCACGCGCAGTTGTTGTTATAAAATATTAACAATGAAGGTGGTTAGTCACTCATTTAAAAATAACCAGCCTCCACCCACACACACTTGCAAGAAGAAATTTGATTCTCACATGTTATTAACCAGCCTTTTAAAAAAATAAATTGACCAGGTTTCCAGGGTGAGTAGGCCATCTAATCCCTTTCATGGCTCTCTTCACTCCCCGGGAACAGCGAGGGTGCTGGGTAAGCAGACCCAGTGGGGAGCACCGGAAGCCCCATTTGGGGGGGAAAGGGGGAGAGGAACTAATTGATATTTACACACATTGAAGGGAAACTCAGCTTCCCTCCTCTCCACTCCACACTGAGTGCCGGTGGGATTTTCAGTATAGAATTTGGTGAAGTTCGGCCTATTAAATACCATGTTGTCCTCACAGCCCAGCAGGGGGAGGAGTAGGGTCCACGGGATTAGCCCCAGGGGTGCACCGGGACTCTTCCTGTGTTGAAGGGAACTGGATGGCGAAGGGAATAGTTCTACAGGCTAAGGAAACACTAGCAGCAATTCTGTTTACGTCTGTCCCTCTCCTGTCCCACCTGGTAGCTGCTGTCACATAAATGTAACCACCCTGTTATGGAAGGAAGTGCTGGCATCTTTAGGCTTCCCCTTACCTTTCCTGCCCTCCTCTCCTTGCCCTCCCTTCCCCCCGCACCCTCAGGCTCTTAGGGTTCAGCCCTTGAATCGGGCAGGGGAGGGCTAGCTGCACAGTGTAGGTGAAGAGCCCCTTTCTGTGACCCCCAGCCGAAGATGTGTCACGTGGAACTCTTCCATTCTGAGGTTGAGAGGAATAAGTGGGTTTAATGGAACCAGAAATAGAGATGTAGGAAATGTGGGAACCACGCGTGTTTCTGTCCCTTGTCCATCAAAGGTCGTTGGTATCAATTGGACACCAGCAGACACCTTCACTTTGGGTTGCAGTGAAGAAGGAAGCTTGATTCGGTGCAAACAACTCAATTGTGACACAGCAGTCCCTTCAGCCCTGGCTTCCCAGGACCCAGGGGGTAATCTCCGCCACTGCCTGCAGCGCCCTGGGCTTCCCCTGAAAGGTGGGGGTGGAAGGCCTGGCCCCACCGGCCTCTGGGCAGCGTGAGGCTGAGTGAGATGATGCCTTTAGTGCAGCGGTTCTCAACCTGTGGGTCGCGACCCCTTTGGCGGTCGAACGACCCTTTCATGGGGGTCGCCTAAGACCATCCTGCATATCAGATATTTACAATACGATTCATAACAGTAGCAACATTACAGTTATGAAGTAGCAACGAAAATAGTTTTATGGTTGGGTCACAACATGAGGAGCTGTATTTAAAGGGCCAGAAGGTTGAGAACCACTGCTTTAGCGTGTCTGAGCTGCAGACAGGCGTGGCCCATAAGTAAGTAGGCCGCAGAGCACGTCCCTACAGCCTGACCCGCACGGACCCGCCTTCCCACGCGGGAGGAGGGGCTGAGGAGGGTAGGCAGCCTTTGCTGACCGGCTGGGAGCACAGTGCATGCGGCTCAGCTGACTTTCTATATTGAGGAGCACAGCCGGCCTCCCTTTTGCTTCCTGCGCCGGCTTTGTCCGTTACGTCATGACCTTCAGAGGCAGCTTCTAGCCTCGTCCCGGGAGCTGGCACCCTCCAAGCCAGCCTCACACGGCCCCGAAGGCAGGCGGACCTGGCCTTCCCGCCCTGTCCCTCTTACTGACGGAAGCCCAGAGCGCGGGGGCAGTGGCCTGAGGGAGCTGGGTAGGGTCTTGGGGGAAAGGCCACGGAACCCCCTCTGTCTGCTCGGGCAGAAAGCACAGGCGCATATGGCTTTCTTGGTCGGGAATGGAGGGATCTCCGGGGGGGCCGGCCCGAGCTCATGTCCTCCATGTCCCAGGCCCAAGACATGGGCCAGAACAGGGCCTCGTGCTTGGGACACGCACACGTTTACATTCGGCTGCGTTTACATGTGTTCGCTCCGGGTCCCCCCTGGACCATGTGGCTGCATCATCCCCAGGGAGTGAGGGCCTCGCACTTCTCTTCAGATCCGTCTGATGCCGATTGACCAAGGCAGCGAACCACCCCTGCAGGGCCACAGGTGTGCTGGGGCCCTGCACACGGTTCTCACTGGCAGTCTCCAGGCCGCCCACCCATCCTCCTGGTCTCAGCCCCGTGCAGGCCCACCTCCCCCGGCGATCCTTCAGGGGGAATGTGTGGTTTGTTCTGAGGATAAGAAGCCCATTACATGCCCTGACTCACTTCCCTCCAACTCCCTGCCTGGAAAGACAATAGACGGGAATGTTCTGGCCGGAGTGGAATGTGTTGTCAGGCCTTGTTTACCAGAAAGCGGGCTTGGCCCTCAAGAGCCTCCAGGGAGGGGGTCTTCCTCAGGAGCGAGGTCCCAGGGCCAGACATTGTTCTCTCTGACTAGTTTTGAAACAGAATTAACCTGCAGAGCGTCACTCTCAGGAGCCCACTGGAGAAAACACGCTGGATGGGCGGGTGAAGGGAAGGCACCAGCACTTGCATCTCCACTTCCAGCATCCCCTCCACCTCCACCTCCACTATCCTCTCCACTTCCACCATCCTCTCCACTTCCACCATCCCCTCCAACTCCAGCATCCCCTCCACCACCAGCATCCCCTCCACTTCCGGCATCCCCTCCACCTCCCCTCCACCTCCAGCATCCCCTCCACCTCCAGCGTCCCCTCCACCTCCAGCATCCCCTCCGCTTCCAGCATCCTCTCCACCTCCAGCATCCCCTCCACCTCCAGCATCCTCTCCACCTCCAGCATCCTCTCCACCTCCAGCATCCTCTCCACCTCCAGCATCCCCTCCACCTCCAGCATCCCCTCCACCTCCAGCATCCCCTCCACTTCCAGCGGGACGTCCCCTCCACCTCCAGCGACCCCTCCACCTCCAGCGTCCCCTCCGCTTCCAGCGTCCTCTCCGCCTCCAGCATCCCCTCCACTTCCAGCGTCCTCTCCGCCTCCAGCATCCCCTCCGCTTCCAGCATCCTCTCCACCTCCAGCATCCTCTCCATCTCCAGCATCCTCTCCACCTCCAGAATCCCCTCCACCTCCAGCATCCCCTCCACCTCCAGCATCACCTCCACTTCCAGCGGGACGTCCCCTCCACCTCCAGCGACCCCTCCACCTCCAGCGTCCCCTCCGCTTCCAGCGTCCTCTCCGCCTCCAGCATCCCCTCCACTTCCAGCATCCCCTCCACCTCCAGCATCCCCTCCACCTCCAGCATCCCCTCCACTTCCAGCATCCCCTCCACCTCCCCTCCACCTCCAGCATCCCCTCCACTTCCAGCATCCCCTCCACCTCCAGCATCCCCTCCACTTCCACCATCCTCTCCACCTCCACCATCCCCTCCACCTCCAGCATCCCCTCCACTTCCAGCATCCCCCCACCTCCACCATCCCCTCCACCTCCAGCATCCCCTCCACCTCCAGCATCCCCCCCACCTCCAGCATCCCCTCCACCTCCAGCAACCCCTCCACCTCCAGCGTCCCCTCCGCTTCCAGCGTCCTCTCCGCCTCCAGCATCCCCTCCACTTCCAGCATCCTCTCCACCTCCAGCATCCCCTCCACCTCCAGCATCCCCTCCACTTCCAGCATCCCCTCCACCTCCCCTCCACCTCCAGCATCCCCTCCACTTCCAGCATCCCCTCCACCTCCCCTCCACCTCCAGCATCCCCTCCACTTCCAGCATCCCCTCCACCTCCAGCATCCCCTCCACTTCCACCATCCTCTCCACCTCCACCATCCCCTCCACCTCCAGCATCCCCTCCACTTCCAGCATCCTCCCCACCTCCATCATCCCCTCCACCTCCACCATCCCCTCCACTTCCAGCATCCCCTCCACCTCCAGCATCCCCTCCACCTCCAGCATCCCCCCACCTCTACCATCCCCTCCACCTCCACCATCCCCTCCACCTCCAGCATCCACTCCACCTCCAGCATCCCCCCCACCTCCAGCATCCCCTCCACTTCCAGCATCCCCTCCACCTCCAGCATCCGCTCCACTTCCAGTGTCCACTCCACCTCCAGCATCCCCTTCACTTCCAGTGTCCCCTCCACCTCCAGCATCCCCTTCACTTCCAGTGTCCACTCCACAGGGGCTGAGGGACGCTTGGCCACAGTAGTGAGCCCTCAAGGAAACAGGTGGACGGGCAAAGGGCATGTGCCAAGTCTCTGATGCCCCAAAGTGAGCCTGGAATGACCAGTGTGACTCCTCGTGCTGTGACTTTGGCCTGTGGCTCTGTCTGCCCAGGTTGGAAGTGTACCCGGAAGAGCCACCCCACCTGCCCTACGTCAATAGCCTTTTCTAGGCGGTGGCCTTGCTGACCTTATTTCTGGGTTGGTGTCCCTCAAAGGCACAACTTTTAGAGGAGGAAATGGAGTGGGGTTTAGGGTCAACAAAAGAGAGGATGAGCAGGATTTGAACCCAGGCCTGTTGGACCAACTGCCTCCCAGCCCATGGAGCTGTCATGTCCTGCCTCTTTCTGTCACCTAAGCCTAATTTTGTGATGACTGTGCTTAAGTAATCCAAGGAGTTCTTTCTCCTTTGCATGACCTCATCTCCCAGAGAAGCTGCTAGACTGGGTCCACCCAGATGGACCCAGGAGTCACCCAGGGCTGGGACGACGGCTGGGCAAATTCAGGTGGGACCCCGGGGAGGTGAGCCTGTTGTGGAGGCCGGGAGGCCGACAGCTGACCTCTGAGAAGACACTGGGCTGAAACTGGCACTGCTGTCTGCCCTGAAGTCTGCTGACCCTTCTGTTCCCTGAGCCAATAGTGGATCAATAATCCCATCAGACAGGAGGGCTCAGCCCACAGTGCACTGTTTGTATCTCAGTGGGCCTGCATCTCAGGGGGACATCGGCACCGCTGTGGAGGGACTGGCTGCTTCAAGCAGTCTTATCATCTTGCTACCCCTTCAGAGACCTTGTTTTCCTATTGACAAGGGCAAAAGGGGCTCTATCCCTTCTTTCTGAGAGGCCTGGCCTGGATAGTTGTGTGTCTACAGGAGCTGCCGTCAACTAAATGTTCATGCCTGCCAACCACTTTCATTCATTATCTCGTTTCACCAACTTGGTGGCCTGCCCTTTGTGCCACCTGGTCATCTGTCCATCCATGCGTCCGCCAATCCACCCTCCTACAGATGCTCACTGAACACCTTCCCTGACCTGGCCCTGAGCCAGGCTTACAAGTGAAGGTCAGGACAGGGGGCAGGATATGGACCCTGCTTCACCACTGCTTCAGCCTCCCGGGCCGAAATCAGGACCTTGGACTTGGAAAAAGGCAGCCTGGGATGGGTGTTGCGTGGGTCTGTGTGTGGTGGGAGTGGGTGGGGGAGGCAGCAGGTTTCCACGTGGTGCTGGAGGTGGTGACAGGTGGTGGAAGGTCCCTGATGGCTGCTCTGGCTCTGCTCCTCCCTCCAGGTCAAGGAGATCCTGACGGCTCTGGGCTTGCTGTCTTGTGCCACCACTCGGACCGGAAGTCTCTCAGGCGGGCAGCGGAAGCGCCTGGCCATCGGGCTGGAGCTGGTGAACAACCCTCCTGTCATGTTCTTCGATGAGCCAACCAGGTACTCAGGAGCAGCAGGGGGAAAAGCACCTGACCTCTGCGCCAGCAGATTTTATGGGGGGTCAGAAGGGGGAGGTGTGTGCCCTGCCCGCCCCATCTTGTTCTCCCCCTATTTTGGGGTCACAGGGCAGAGGCCTTACTTGCCCCACTCTCCCTGTCTGAGACTAGGAGACACCCGTGGGCTCAGGCTTGCACACGGACCTACCCAGTATGCTTTGAATGTGGGCATGGTTTGGGGGGGTGGTCCCCACAAACGTCTCATGGTGCCCCTTGACTTGTAGCGGCCTGGACAGCTCCTCCTGCTTCCAGGTGGTCTCCCTGATGAAAGGGCTGGCTCAGGGAGGGCGGTCCATCATCTGCACCATCCACCAGCCCAGCGCCAAGCTCTTCGAGATGTTCGACCAGGTACATCCCTGCTGTGATCAGCCCGTGGGAACCTGAATTCTGGTTCTCAGCTTCCCCTTAGTCCATGGGGTTCTCTTCATTGTTGAATGGCCTTAGTGTTTCATAAGATGTTGGAGTCATAAGCAACTAAGGAAGGGGGTCAGAAGAGCTGGCCAGTGTCTTCTTAGGAGCTGTTGTGTGGCCATGGGGACTTGGGTGAGTCACTATAGACACTGCTGAGGCTTCATGTTGCAATGGGGAAATACCCGTTTTACTGAATTAAGTGACAGATTACTTTATTTGTACAGACAGTCCTAGGGTTACATCAGACTCGACGTTCGTCGTTTCGTGGTTACGTTGCCATCTCCCATTTATTTATAAAAAAAAAGTTCTGTCATTTCGACATATGTACATATGTGCTTTATGTTTTTTATTATTTATTTACCACAAGTAAAGGTCAGGAATTGTTATCTTTCTTTTAAATTGTTTTTACTGTTTCACTTCATTACTGCTGTGCATGTGCTCCATGTGAGTGGCGTAGGTGCTTATGTAGAATGGTGAAAATTGCATTATGTCGTGCCATAGGAACAGATCTCTGACATAACCCGAGGACCTACTGTATTATATCATGTGTTATAAATCTTAGGTTTTAATATTATGATAGAGGAAAAAAAATCCCAAGGGTTGAAATGTGTAGGCTCACGAATCTTTCCCAGGCAGGTGGTTAGTTAGTGTGCAAAAACGATAAAAGAAAACAATTCAGGGCCTCATGATATCCTCAGTTTTCCCTGACTCACCATGGATTTCCCTGTGAACTTTAACAGAGCCTAAGATGAGAGAGAGAGAGAGAGAGAGAGAGAGAGAGAGAGAGAGAGAGAGAGAGAGAGAGAATAGATGGATATGATAGATCGATAGATAGATTGATTGATTGATTTAGTTGAATGAATGGATGGAGGGTGAATGGGTAGATGGATGGATGGGTGGGTGGTATAGATGGGTAGATGGGTAGATGAATATATGGATAGAGGGATGGAAGGACGAAAGGGTAGATGGATGGGTAGGTTGGTGGAGGCTTGGTTGGTGGATGGATGGATGGGTGGGTGGGTGAGTGATTGGATGTATGTATGTATGTATGGATGGATGGATGGATGGATGGGTGGGTAGTAGGTAGATGTAGGCGTGGAGGTGAGGAGGTGGTGGATGATGGATGGATGGATGGATGGATGGGTGGTGGATTGATGGATGGATTGGTGGGTGGGTGGGTGAGTGATTGGATGTATGTATGTATGTATGGATGGATGGGTAGTAGGTGGATGTAGGAGTGGAGGTAAAGAGGTGGTGGATGATGGATGGATGGATGGGTGGGTGGTGGATTGATGGATGGATTGGTGAGTGGGTGGGTGCGTGGTGGATGGATGGGAGAGTGGAGGTGTGGTTGAATAGGTGGTGGGTGGGTGGGTGGATGGATATTGCGAGCATGGAGGCAGGCAGAGTTGATGTTTACCTCTCCTTGCTTTTTTCTAGCTTTATGTTCTTAGTCAAGGACAGTGTGTGTACCGGGGGAAAGTCTCCAATCTTGTACCATATTTGAGGGATTTAGGTCTGAACTGTCCAACCTACCACAACCCCGCTGATTTTGGTAAGTATAACCTTGACCAGGAAGGAAAAGGAAGTGTTTGTTTGTTTGTTTGTTTGCCACTCCTGGTGGATTTTCACTTTTACCAGAGGCCCTCGGCCAGGGCTTACGTGAATAGTCCACAGTTGGCTCAAGTGCCATCCATGGTGGAACTTTTAAGGACAGAAAAAGAGGTTGTTTTCCCCTCCAGATAAAATAACAAGGCAGCTGTTATTAGGAGCAATATTCTCTAACACCTCTGGTGTTAGTCCCAGGTTAAAGGAAGTTATTTCTAACAAGAAATAACCTTGTGGCCCCACCCATCACTCCAATCTCTGTCTTCACATGGCTCTGTCTCTGCGTGTCTCTGTTGTTGGATTCAGGGCCCATCCTAACTCCAGGATAGTTTCACCTCAAGACCCATAACCAATTACCTCCGCAAAACACATTTGTCAAATAATGTCATAGTCTGCGGTTCCAGGTGGATGTGAATATTTGGGGGGTGCTATTCAACCCACTACAACCCTCCTGGTCATCAGCACTTCTCATTCAGTTGCTTTTCTTTCAAACATCTGGCCACACTCCCAGGATTTCATATTTCCAACATCATCTCCCAAGTTATGTTCCACAAGACCCTGTTCCTGGGAAACACTTCTCTCACTTGAGCCAGAGTGTGGGAATGGGAACGTGAAGGGAACAGACAGTTTTGTTTACAGGCAGTGGGGCCGGGTCTGGTTTATAGACACAAGAGAAAAGCATGGTTGGGGACAGGTGTGCTGGGCGGGGGAGGGTGGTGAGGTCCAAGGCCTGCAAAGAGGTGAGAACCTAGAAGGAAAGATGGACAGAAAGAGAAATAGGGTCCATGCAACCTCCGGAAAGTTCTAGAAAAGTTAGGGTGTGGCTTCTATCTCCTCCGCGTCACCCGGAGAGAGGACTGGAGTGCACAGAGACTGGCGCTGGGGAGGGGTGGCTGTGAGTGACCAGCAGAGCGGACAGTGCTGAGCCCGTGTGGCCTCCTTGATGAAAATGGGCCACTGCGTCCGGTTTATGAAAGGTGGGGCGGATGGTCCCAGACCTCAATGCCCCCAGAGAGCCAAGCACATCTCAGGCCCTGGTCACCCCTTTTTCCGTGGTCCCCCTGAACTGCCACAGCTCTCATCACTCATGCCCAATCCCACGTGCAAAATGCGAACTCTCCAAACAGAAGTCCTGCTCCATCCGGCTGTCTTCCAGCTCTGCTCTGAGGCTTGGATGCCCACAGCAGGCGGTCGGTAACCCTGGATGGATGCCTAAGTTAATAGAGAACGAGCTAATTGTTTTCATTCCCAGGCTCCTGACACGAGACATGACCTCGCTGGGGGTTTAGAGCTGAAAGAACATCGGTAGCTAAATGATTTGATCGTATGATCGTGACCGTGCACTTGTATATAATCACTTAAAAATATTCCCGCCGGATTCATGGCTCTGTAGTTGCAAAAATGAAAGAGGCCCACAGTTCACATTGGCGGTCTCAGGCTCTTAGCCCGGATTTTGGCTGACAGCACGCACCTGTGTCTCATGCAGTCATGGAGGTGGCGTCCGGTGAGTACGGCGATCAGAACGGCCGCCTGGTGAGAGCCGTCGGTGAGGGCCTGTGTGACTCTGACTGCAGGAAAGAGCCTCCTGGGGGCGATGGCGAGGTGAACCCCTTCCTCCAGCACCAGCCCTCGGAAGAGGTAAAGCAGTCCAAAGGATGGAAGGGGCGGAAGAAGGTAATTCCTCCCCCGGCCTGGGGGAGCCCTCACTGCATGTTGCCCCCTGCGGCACGGTGCCCTTTCTTAGCCTCGAGGAACTGGGTCGTGGGGTCGGGGGTCTCACCTTCTCTCCCTTCTCGGTGTGTCCTCAGAACTCCGCTTCCACGGAAAGCTGCCACAGCGCCTCCGCCAGCTGCCTCGCCCAGTTCTTCATCCTCTTCAGGAGGGCCTTATTGAGTACCGTGAGGGACGCGGTAAGTGTGTCTACAGTCGCCTCTTGTGGCAAAGGAAGCTGCCGGCATCTTCAGGTGTATCTGTCCTGACTGTTTTTCCTCCATTTGCATCAGTCAGCATTCACTCTGCAATGCTGCTGTGACAAACACTCCCTCATATGCCAAAGGCTCTGACAGTAAATATTTGTGTTATTGGTTGGTGGCTGAGCATTGTGACTCTGCCCCCTGTTTCTTCTCATCCTGGGACTCAGAATGGAAGGACAGCTCCTTTCTAGAATGCGACATAGGGAAAGTGCAAGGGAGAAGTCAAATGTAAAACTTCTGGTGGCAACTTGTCACTTGTGCTCACATTCCTCTGGCCAAAGAAAGTCATATGGCCAAGCATGTCACCACAGAGTGCACCCCTCCCTCAGGAAAGCATGGCAAAGGCATAGGGCACTGGGGCTATGTGAAGGCTTATTGGGAAGGAGGTGTTGAATGGTTGAGAACAGAGTAGCATCCACCTTTAAGGTGGACAACCTGCCCAGGACGGGTCGGGTGCTCAGTGGGCCTCTGGGACCTAGTTCGAAAGATGGAAGGGCTTGTAGCAACTCATGCCACAGCTCTTCAAGGGTGGCCTCTGATATACCCACCCTTGGTCCCTTCTCCACCATCGCTGTCACTGTCCTCTCCTCTGAAGGCAGACAGACCTTGCTTGCAAGTTTTGAGCAAATCTGTTTTAACAGCAATAAAACGCTGCCCATGTGTGCATGTGTGTGAGTTGGTTTAGGGTTGGAGGTTGGTTTTTCTGGAGGAAATGGGCGGCATGAAGCATGAGGTGTGACATGGACCATGTCTCCAGAGGCCTTGGACCTATTGTTCCGTCACTGCCTCACTCCCCCACTTCCAGGCGTGTGAGTAACAGCCAGGTCTGCCCCCAGGTCTTGATGCACCTGCGGGCCACCTCGCACATTGCCATCGGCCTCCTCATCGGCCTGCTCTACTTGGGGATCGGGAACGAAGCCAAGAAGGTCATGAGTAACTCCGGCTTCCTCTTCTTCTCCATGCTGTTCCTCATGTTCGCGGCCCTCATGCCCACTGTGCTCACGTGTGAGTGCCCAACAGGCCACAGGCCCTCCTCTCCTTCCTCATCTGTCATTCCAACCCACGAACTGGGGACCGAGGTCATGGCTTGGCCAAGAGAGGAGTTTTCTGAACATACAGTGTCTGGCTTTTTAAAAAAATAAAATATTCTTTGTAGACAGATGCAGGTATTGTATTTTCTGTTAGACAAGAAAATACAGAGCCTGTTTAAGCCAAAGGGTGGAAGGCTTTCACACAGGGATGAAGGCTTATGGGAGAGATTTCTAAAAGGTTGTCTAGTCAGGAGCTCCTCACAGAGGCATGGCTTACCCCATTGGTTATTAAGACAGCCCCAGTCCGGCCAAGTTTGGGAGGGGATGAAGCTATTCTGGGTGGATTTCCACGCAAGTCTAGGTTGTTCGCAGAGTCACGTGGGGCTGACAGTGCAGACAGCCTTGCTTCTGCAGAACACCAGCAGAAAGCTCCTCCCTAAATTGCCTGGAATTTCCAAGACCTCACAAGAGGTCTTGTCCGCAGGAAAGAATCACATTGTCACAGTTATTGAATGAGAATAAGTTGCGCGATAAATGTTATAGTAATCGCTAAAATAACACTCATTATTGCACGGATATTCTCCACTCGATGACTCCTCAGGTTATAAAAATGGGTGGTGGTTCTCCTAAGCTAGTGAATCGGTCCTTATCTCCTCCATCCAAACCCTGAGCACGGGGGTGTTGAAAGGCCCGCATCTCGGCACAGGCCAGGTTGTTGAGCCAGTATTTTGCACGCCAGGTATGTCTGCTTGATGCCTTCTCCATTGTCCTGCCTCCTAGTTCCCCTGGAGATGGGTGTGTTTCTCCGGGAACACCTGAATTACTGGTACAGCCTGAAGGCCTACTACATGGCCAAGACCCTGGCCGACGTGCCCTTCCAGGTACGTCAGGGAAGGGCGTGTGTTGAAAGAGGAGCAGGCATTGTCCTCACACCCTGTAGACCGGGGTGGGAGATCGCAATTTCCATGGGAGGCTGATGGGCCCTGTGTTCCCAGATCGTGTTCCCGGTGGCCTACTGCAGCATCGTGTACTGGATGACGTCGCAGCCGTCCGACGCCGTGCGCTTTGTCCTGTTTGCTGCACTGGGCACCATGACCTCGCTGGTGGCGCAGTCCCTGGGCCTCCTGATTGGAGCTGCTGCCACATCCCTGCAGGTACCAGCCAAGGAAACGCCTCCCTGCTGCCCTGGGGGGCTCAGCACCGCCCGCCTCCTCCTAATTCTGCCCTAACTTCCTAGATCGGCTTGTCCAGGTCAGCCTTTGGGTCAGGACGCGTAGTGTCCTGGCTGGTCACTACTGGCATATCGACAGCAGCAGGTGCCCTGATGCGGCACGTAGTGTATGCCAGTGCTGTGCTCAGTGCTCTCCACATAATAGCTCTGTTAGTCCCCGGCACACCCCTGAATTAGGTGCTGTGCTAGCCCCATCTTACAGGTGTGAACACTGAGGTCCAGAGAGGCAATGCGATTTGGTCGGGGTCACACAGCTGGCTCAGAGTTCAAGCTCTGGATGCCTAGGTTTTGTTGCCTGAGAGGATCCACTTGCCCATCCCTTCAACCTCCATTGCACCCCCACATTCCCACCCCATCTGGGTCCCTCCACGCGCCCCTCTAGACTCCTGGTACCACCCACCCACAAACCCACGTGCATTTGCCGTTTCTGCACCTCCATGACTTCAGGGAGCTCAGGCCAGGCCTTTCCTTCACAGCTAAGCCAGAACTCGGGTAAATCGTGCACCCCAGAGGCGGCTGCTCACTCCCCAAACCAGATGCTTCTCCACGCCAACCTGGCCCGTGGATGACCCATCCAGAAAACCGGTCCTTTCTCAGTGGTCCCAGGGACTGTCCAGGAATATGGCCTCCAGGGGCCACCCGCAGAGGCAGTCGGGCGGGACTGGAAGCTCTCTCTGTGTCCCCCCAGGTGGCAATCTTCGTGGGCCCCATGACGACGATCCCCATCCTCCTCTTCTCAGGATTTTTCGTCAGCCTTGGCACCATCCCCACCTACCTGCAGTGGATGTCCTACATCTCCTACGTCAGGTAGCGTGTGTGTGTGTGTGTGTGTGGTGGTCATGGTTGCGGAGACCCTGTATAACTTGGGGCCTTTACAGTGACAGAGGGAAGAGGACTCCCGTTACCATGCACATGCTCACAAAAGCTACGTCTTAGCTGTCAGCTAAATGCCGGCACCGTTCCTATATCACAGAGGGTCCCAGAGGATCGGTGCCTTTTATTTTTGTCCTAGTTTAGTGTGTCCCGCCCTCACCAACGCACACACAACAAGGGTAAAGCAAGTGCTAGCCGCTCGTACCCTGAAGGAGCCCAGATGGGCCCGTCGTCTGGTCCTTTGGAGACCTGCCTCTGGGGGGCGTTTCCACCTGTTAGGCGCTTCATTCCTCTCTGAAGTAAACATGCTTACGACATGTTCCTGAATATTGTAAACCCTAATAAGAAATCTGGTGGAATATTAAAAAAACAAAAGCCGGTGTGGCTCCGTGGCTGAGCACTGACCTATGAACCAGGAGGTCACAGTTTGATTTCCAGTCAGGGCACATGCCCGGATTGCGGGCTCGATCCCCAGTGGGGGGAGGTAGCTGATCAATGATTTTCTCTCATCACTGATGTTTCTATCTCCCTCTCCCTTCTTCTGTGAAATCAATAAAAATATATTAAATTTTAAAAACAGGAATCCAGTGGGAAGTGAGTCATGATTAAAAGACCCTAACATCTTTGGAACCGAGTATTCTGGCACATGGGCGCTCGGTCCAACGGCATGCTCTGCGCTCGGGCTGTCTGGCACGTAGGCCTCGGGGGCCACGCTTGTCTTCGAAGCGTTTTGATTTCGTGACACGCAGATCCCACGTCGGAACGAGCTTTTCTTTTCTGGGATGCCAGTTCAGACCCAGGTGTTTTGTTCTGGACAACAAACTGGAAACAAAGCCCTTGTCCAGAGTTTCAGCAACCTGTGCGCGCGCCAACGCCGGGGAAACCCGAACCCCGTGTCTTTCTCCCCAGAATTAGCGTTTTTTGTTCCGACAGTGTAGGGCTGGCCGGGAACAATGGATGGGCAAGTTGTGTTTTGTTAGGTGCTGCAGGCTGCTTGGAAGGCTATCAGACATTCTGTTATATCAAACTTTTAGAAAGTAGGTACGACCAGAAGTAATCCAAGTGGTTTTCAGTTCATTTCCCTGAATAAATCCCTACGATTCGTTCCATTTGGAGGAAATGAAACGGGAAAAATGTAGTGAAGGTGCCCGTGCGTTCGTCTCAGGGATGCTGGGAGGTTAGGAAGTATTTCGGGGGGTGGGGGGGGGAAGACCTGCGGAGAGGAGCCGACTGGGACCACGGAGAAGGCGGAGGCAGAGTCAGGGACGGCGAGGACGGCGTCTGGCCGCCGGGGCAGAGCCCTCCTCACGCGGGGCGCTTTCCTCCGCAGGTACGGGTTTGAGGGGGTCATGCTGTCCATCTACGGCCTGGACCGCGAGGACCTGCACTGCGACGTGGACGAGACCTGCCACTTCCAGAAGTCGGAGGCCATCCTGAGAGAGCTGGACGTGGAGAACGCCAAGCTCTACCTGGACTTCATCGTCCTGGGCATTTTCTTCATCTTGCTGCGCATCATCGCCTACTTTGTCCTGAGGTACAAAATCCGGGCAGAGAGGTAGAGCTCCTGACTGCCGGCAGACAGGAGCATTAGACACTGCCGCCAAGGGCACCTGGCCGCGTCGCGGCCACCAGCCTGTGCCCGAGGACAGGACGACTGGGACCCAGCCCCTAGCCACCACGTCTGGCTCGTGGGTGCCAAGCGTTCAACAGCTCTGCCCCGGAGGGACGGGTCTTCTCCCCATTCCCCTTCCCAGCTTTAACTAGGAAGAAGATGTAGAAGGGGTAATTTTCACGTGCAGAATTTAAACCGCCCACAACTGGGGCAGCATTGAAACCTGCCACAGAGCTGGTGACAAGAGGTTTCCCTGGTCGCACCCTTCCTCGTGACCAGGTAGCTCTGGTCCCGGGCGGGGGCCGCGAGCAGCCCCTCGCCTGGTCACTGCGCAGTTAGGCGTCCTGGGGAGAAAGGCGGAGAGGAAACCGGTTCTGTTTTATGACTTGCTTTTCATAGTTTTCATATTTCTACAGTTTGTCTCTTTTTCCAATGAGAAGTCACTTTCCAAGCCCAAAGCCTGTGAATGTCATTCATTTGAAGAAGCTGTGTCTCTGCAGCCCTTGTGGGAGAGAGTTGTTCAGGGTGGCCCGGCCTCGCTGACAGACAGAACCTGTGAAAGGTGCAAGTGCGGGGCCCAAGTTGAGAGACTTGGGAACTGTACGCGCGAAGCCGTGCGGAAATTTTAAAAAATTACACAGAAAGTGGGAAGGCGAAGTTGGCCCACTCTTTCCAAGTTTTTTATTTTCCCCAGGCTTATTTTAAGCAAAATATATTGTTTCTTTCTTCCTAACTTTCTGAGCACTTTAATTTTTAGTTGTTGTTGTTAATCCTCACCCGAGGATATCTTTCCACTGATTTTTAGAGAGAGTGAAAGGGAGGAGGACAGACAGAGAGAGAGAAACATCGATGTGAGAGAGACACATCGGTTGGTGGCTTCCCACACGTGTCCCGACCAGGGCCTGGGATTGAGCCTGCAACTGAGGTACATGCCCTTGATCAGAATCGAACCCAGCACCCTTCAGTCCACGGGCCAACGCTCTGTCCACTGAGCCAAACCAGCTGGGGCTGAGCACCTTAATTTTGCCTAAAATATTCTAGAAGACCCACCCTGTTGCGTTTTTACAAACATTTTCCCTTTCCTCATATATCACATCAACTACCTCCACTGAACCTGGGAACGCTGGGCTGAGGGAGATCCAGGTGTGAGCGTTGAGGGATCCCAGGTGCAGCCGTGAAAGCTGAGCTGACTGCCTGATATGGAAGCTGCTGAGACCCCATTAGAATCCAAGGCCCTTGCAGGACCCCGGACCCTGAGTGTGGCCGAGGTGTTCGTAGCTCCTTAAACAGGCTGTGGGGTGAGTCCATCTCCGGAGCTGGTTCTGGTGGCAGCTCGGCCGCACCGCCTTGTCAGTGATTGGTTTGTGTAGACATCTTCCCAGGGACGTAATCACATGAGTAAATCTCTCTAGGGCAGGAACAGTGGCATCTGCAGGGCGACAGCCTCTGACTTCCTAACAGAGCTCCTGTGTGCCTGTCAGCCCCGAGCAGTGCGTGTGTCTACAGGGTAGGAGGTGCCTCTGGCCTAGGAAGGTCGGAAGGAAAATGGCATTGCTTTCCCCTTCTAGACCATCACTGTCCCGGAATCAGGGTCCCCTAACGAAAGGTTGTATGTCTGTGGGCAAAAAGCTCACAAACCTCTCTGACCCTCCGTGTCCTCTTCTGTGAATAATGGCCCGAGCTAGTCCTCAAGGCCGTTTCAGCTCAGAGGTTCCTCGGTTCTGTCCCCCGACTCTTATTTCCTACTTCAGAGAATGAAAAGAGTTCAGTTTTCACTTGCACACGGATTTGTAAATGCTTAGAGACCCCCTTTTCACCTTTAGATCCTTTTTAGTAAATAACCACAATCCAGGTATATTAAAATGTAATTTTAAGTCTGCTTGTCCCACACAAATAGAGCAGCGTTGCCTTCCAGGCCATGTTATTTAACCAGGGTCAAACTTAGCTTTTATAAAAAGCCTTTTAATTTCAAGATAGATTTGCCTGTAAGGCATCACACATAGGAAGACCCACATAGGAACAGCCGAGTGCGGTACAGAGTTGGGAAGAGGAGAAAGTCATCAATCTCACCCCAGAATTACATCAGCTGAGGTCAGTGGTTAAAGGCCTCTTCCCCTCCACGTCAGCCCCTGGGTTGCAGCTCTGTGACCCTACAAGGACATGCATGCCAGGAACTGCGCTCAGAGTCGACCATCTCATCCACAGAGCCCATTCACTGAGCCAGCAGTGTCCTGTCTCAGCCATTTCAGAAGGAAACTGTGAGATTCCTTTAGATTTACAATCTCATCTCCAAGCACATCTAAGCCTGCAGAAGGAATATTTCTATAGGCGTTCATGCTCCCTGCATTTCAGTGTTTTACTGTTAGCTTATCTCTTAACAGATGAGCAACTGATTAAGGTCTCCCCCGTACCCAGAGGCAGATCTTTGGGGACCTGAGGGCTGTTGGGTGCCTGAAGGGAAACCCACGTGCAAAATGACCAGGGCTATTTTTTAAAGGATGCTAAGTGGAGTGTCACAGGTGTACTGCCAGCAGGATAATTTGCCTTGGAAGACCTAAAGCCACATTGAGTGAGCTTGGGTCACCCCTAGGATGCTGCTGCCTTCACCCCAGTTCAACTCTCAGCGAGTGCCCCCTCCATTATAAACCCTTAACAGCTTTCACTGAGATGCTGCTGTTCTGTGCTGATCTCCAGATACTGGCCTTCTGCTCTTGTTTTAGGGGAGTTTGAGAAATTACCTTATTTCAGTGGCCTAAGGCCGTGGTCAGCAAGCTGCGGCTCGCGAGCCACATGCGGCTCTTTGGCCCCTTGAGTGTGGCTCTTCCTAAGCCTTAGGAGTACCCTAATTAAGTAATAACAACGGACCTACCTATATAGTTTAAGTTTAAAAAATTTGGCTCTCAAAAGAAATTTCAATCGTTGTACTGTTGATATTTGGCTCTGTTGACTAATGAGTTTGCCGACCACTGCCGGCAAACTCATTAGTCAACAGAGCCAAATATCAACAGTACTTCTTCAAAATAGACTGGCCCAGGCCGAAAACCGACTTCTGCGTACGGGCCACGAAGTTTCAATCACACTGTACGTGCGCCCGCACGTGGTATTTTGTGGAAGAGCCACACTCAAGGGGCCAAAAAGCCGCATGTGGCTCGTGAGCCGCAGTTTGCCGATCACGGGCCCAAGGTAACATCCAAGCAATGGACTGATTTATTTTTCTATGTAGCTGTGGTTCAGCGGTAGGTGGCGATGTGCTGACTTTCCTACATGGGAATTTAGACCAGGCCAACTTCTCAAATCGGAGTCTTTAAGTGCTTTCTGAATGTAGTGACGCCGACACCCCTTCACTCTGACTGCTTCTTGATGTAGAGAAGGATGGATTCTTGGGTAAAAGATGCATGGCTTCTCCGAATGTTGGCAGAGGAGAAACAGAAGCTCAGAGAATTTTGCTTTCTTTCTTTCTTTTTTTATTATTATGTTGTTAATTTTTTTTTTTTTTTTTTTTGAGAGAGAGAAAGAGAGAGGAAGGGAGAGGGATAGAGAGATAGAAACATAGATGACAGAGAAACATCATCGATCGGCTGCCTCCTACATGCCCCACACTGGGGATCGAGCCCGCAACCGGGGCCTGTGCCCTGACCTGGAATCGAACCAGCATTCTCTTGGTTCATGGGTCAACGCTCAACCACCGAGCCACCAGCCGGGCTGGAGAATTTCACTTTCAAATGGAACGTCTCAGGAGAGGAGGGGGCACCTGGGATTCTGTCCACTGTTCTGGCTCCGAGACCTGGTCAGGGCCTGGTCCCTGCTGACCCGCCCCATTCTGGGTACCTTTCCCCTCTGTCCCCCCTGAGGTCATGCTGTGCCCCCCTTTCTCTTATGCTTGTTGAGTATCAGCTAGGGAACGGCATCCTCCCCAAGTCCCCGTGGGTGATATGGGGAGCTCTCCCCAGAAGGGGAAGAAGCCCTCCATGAACATTCACAGGGGAGATGCCGGAATCAGATGACGTCACCTCGAGGGAGGGGCCTTCAGGACCCTTAGGTCCCAGGAAATGGGACATGCACTTTTAGGTAAAACTCGTGCACAGACAGGTCACCTCCCGCCCTGAAAAAGGCTCAGCCAGGAGGCCAGGGACGGGCTGTGTCCGTGAGGTCGGAATCACCTCGGTTGTCTCCCTGAGCAAAACGCGAGCTCCAGTGGATTGAGCCTCTCTCTCTAGCGAGTGTTCGGGCCCTGCCCTGATGCTTAGGAATCCCCCCATCTGTTTACTCAGCAAGTGTTGGCAGACCATCCCGAGCTTGGTGCTGTCCCAGGCGCTGGGCCAGGGGAGGGCGCGCAGACAACATGGGCGGCCTCCAGGGCAGGCAGGCAGGCAGCGGGGGCAGGATGGGGGGTGGGGTGGGAGGGGAGGCATGGACCTGCAGGGCACCAAGGCTGTCAGAGGGGCAGGAAGGTCCCGGGTCCCAGGACCAGGAAAGAGCAGAATTCGAGTCCCAGTCTGACCCCCAAATCTCAATTTTTTTTTCTTTCTTTGCCACCCTGCCTCCTGTTCAAAGTGTACAGGTGTGTGTGAAAATACTTTATAAGGCATAAAATTCAATGGTAGCGTAGGGGCTATTCATTCTGGACTCCCTGTCACCAAACGGATAGCTGAGATGGAGGGTTCCTGTGCCCCTCCCCTCCAGTCGCCTTGCCTAGGGGCGTCCCAAGCTGGCTGGGGCTGAGCTTACTCGAGCCTGGGTGGAGTGTGCCTCCCTCTGCCCTGGCACAGCCTTGGCCTCCTCACGCAGCTCGCTGGGGGCGAGCTTGGGCAGAGAGGGGCTGCAGTGTGTGATACACACACAGATGCGCACACACGTGCTCACGTGCGGGCTTGTGCCAGGTTGTATGTCACAGTGTTATTCTGTGGTGTTTCCTTCATCTATGAATCCTCAGTCACCCTTTACTCCGAGGAGAAGAGAAAACATTCCCGCACTTCACGCCTGCCACGCCAATGGTAAGAGCAGGGTCCGAACCACGAAGGATGTCACCATTGCCAGCTAAGTGACAATGTGACAAAAGTAAAACAGCTTGGGGGGGATGCAGAGTGTATGAATATAAAGTTAGATACTTTCGAGAAATGACGACTGCTAATAAAATATTTTATATAAAGCTTTTTATTTTTGTTCACTGTTAAATGCTTCAAATACAAAATGATTCGCTTGAATTTGGCCAAGTGAGATGGACCTTGAGGTTGTATTGTGAATGCACATGCTGCACTTCTAGACAGATTCCAGGTTTATTACTTAGTGTTCCGGTCTGACACCTACTGCAGATAATCCCCTTCCTCTCTTGGGAACGTGCACGTTTTATGTTGAACTGTCTTAGAGTTCTGCGGTTTCCCTCCATCCTCCCAGGCCCGTCACCCACTTGTCTACCTGGTTAATGTTGGCCATGACCTCAAAAGGTGCCACCGCCCCAGAAGCCTGGCGGCTTGCCCAGCCTTCCCTTCCAGCCCTTCAGCCTCGCAGTGGTCTCCGCGGACATGGTCTCTGTGGACATGGGCTCCAGGCAGAGAGGCAGCCTCATTCGTTGCTCTGGGGTCTGGGGAACCCATCTCAGGCTGCGGCCTCTGTAGGAGGCGGCTCCAGGGAGCACCCCCCAATGAGATGGGCTCTAGTGGAGCTGGGCAGGACCCAGAGGAGCCTGGAGGCACAGCTGCGGGAGCTCCCAGGTCCTGCTCTTTGGCCGGAGCT